ATGGATTATCGTTTACTACTTACCTTTCAAGGAAACCATATATACCATCGATTGCTAAATTAGCAACTATTAAAATTGTTTCACTTTATCGTGCTTGCCATTTTCTCTCTTGATTCCTTTCTTTACCTCTACAAATGTCTTAGTTCGTCCCTTATATGGACTATTGTTGTCATATTTTGGCTGGTTCTTCTAATGATGCTCTTTCTCTTCTAAGCAAGGTTCAAAAACACAATGTAAACATAGTTGAACCCACTCTATCTGCTAAGCTTGAGCCTCTTTCTCATCATTGTAAAGTTGCATCTCTTTCTCTTTGGACTACTTTATGGACGCTGCTCAAAGAAGCTATTATCTCTACCTCCATCGACTAAAAATCATTCTCGTATGACTCGTCATTCAACAAAGTCTCATTTGTTTACTGTGTTTGTCCTTGTATGCTCCAAAAACTTTTATTCGTCTAGCTTTTTTCCCGCACTTCAACCCTATGGAACTCTCTCCCATCTTCATGTTTTCCTGACTCATACATTCAGACAACATCCATTCTTTAATTTTTTTATTTTTTTTTCAAAATCATTAAACCGGAATTTTCATGAAAATGAAATTTTGATTACTTTATATACTGTAGTAATAACCAGGCAACATAATTTAAAAAAAACCTTGTTAAGAATTTCTTAATTTTAAAATATTGCAATTATTAGCGTTTTCGGTGTATATTTTCATGACTTTAACATCAAGTTATTATTCAAAAGCGGGGAATACTCTAATCTATCAATCTATAGGCCTATCTCTATACTTCCATGCTTCTCAAGAGTACTTGAGCGCACAATGTACTATAGACTTTTTTGCATACCTCAAAAATCACAATATCCTTTTTAATAACCAATACGCATTTAAAAACAACCATTCAACTGAACATGCAGTACCAAATTTAGTTATGGAAATTTTAAATGGGTTTGACAAAAACTAAAATATACTTGGAGTATTTATTGACTTCCTAAATGCTTTGATTAAGACGCTATCTAAACAATCGGAAACATTACAATAAAACTAACACTTCCCCTGAAATTAATACTTGTGGCGTTCCTTAGGGATCATTTCTAGGTCCATTGCTTTTTTTAATATATATTTAGAATATAGTATAGTACTATTTTTTTAACTTCTCATATACTAAACCATATTCATTTTGCAGATGACACCCAAGCTTTCTCCACCCACTCAAATATTAATACTATTTTTAACACAGTAAATCAGGAGCTTGAAGAGTGAAGCGATTGGTTGAAGGCCAACAAACTTTCCTTAAACATCTAAAAAAGCAAATATATTTTTTCACAAAACCATCAAAGACAGACACATTACCATTGAAACTTCCAAATATTTTAGTTGACATAACAAAATTAAAAAGAGCATTTTCTGTGAAGTTTCTTAAAATACAAGATTAGCATATTATCTGAAAAGAGCACTTCAACTTATTAGAAAATAGAATATCTAAAAACATTGGAATTATGCATAAAACTAAATATTTTTTAAATCAAAGTTTGTCTAAAAAGTTTATACTTTGCATTTATGTTCATAATTACATCAGCTGCAATGTTGCCTGGAAAAGTACGTACCACCTTTTTGCTCCAGTCAATTATCATTAGTTAAAACAAGGGGTAGAAAAGTAATTTAGCACCGAGAGAAATGGTACCAATTCATAAAAAGCCAGTTAAGCCTCAGTTTTAATTCATGAAACGCAAGTCAAGCCACAGTTTAAGGTTATTCAAACGTCTATGGCAAGAGCCACAGATTTTTGTAAAGAAAAGATTGTATTATTTTTCAATAAACTTACTGGACTTGTTGATAACCACTATATTACTGCAGATTTGCATTACAACGTAGATGAAACTGGAATAAGTATAGTTCAGAAATAAAGAAAAGGTTTAGCTCTGAAAAGTTTTCCTTTTCGCACCCCTTTCACCACTTGTAATTAAGTGGTGAAAGGGGTGCGAATGCCACTACTGTATGTTTTATGAATGTTGTTGGATCTTTTGTATCTCCAACACTGAAGTTTAAACGTAAATGATCTAAAAATAAGCGTTAAGATGGCGCACCACCAATGACAGTTTTTGGATGTTCTGATACTGGTTGGATAACTACAGATTTATTTACTTTGTGAATAAGTCATTTTTTAATTTTTATACACTTAACAATAATATAGTAAAAACAAATCATTCATTGTACATTTAGAACTGCTAAAATCATATAAAACAATTTACAAGTTTTTTTAACATTACAAGTTTTTTTAGTTTTAAACTGTACAAAACTGTTTAACAAATTAATTTTTCTTCAAACTTCTATTTATTTATATTATTTTACTACTCATAATTGTTTTTAAATGTTATTATTTATTTTTAAAAAATTATCTGACCAATAAAACCTGTTTAATTTAACCTACTCAAAAAAAATCACTAGCTTACAAATAACTACCTTACTATTTGTTTTTACTAAAATTTTACTAAAAAACGCTAATATTTGCCATTTTAGGGTTAGAGTTAGTTTTTGCCTCAGAAACAAAAGAGTTCAAACCCCACCTCTGGGCAAATTTTGCGACATCGGTTAGGACGGAGGTTTGATCTTCCTATTAAATACTCTTCCGTGGTGCTCTGTAATAAAATCGTAAGGACTTCTTGGAGCACCTAAAAAATTATCAAAACTAGATTTCGTCTATAAAAAACAAAAGCAAGCATGCTGCATTTCACAAATGGATATGTTAGTACTTAAAAAATAATAAAAGAACTGAGAGTTTTTAATATTTATGAGCAAAACATCTATTTATCATCCTTTAGTTTATGTTTAAATTCAAAAATAATTCAGCCCCAAAAATATTCCAAAATTACTTCCAACTTATTGATCACAATTACGAAAAAAAAAACATTCTATGCATAACTACTATATTCCAAAAATGTCTTTGAGGCAATTCAAATTCAAAAAAAAAGTTTACTAATTTGCGCTTAACTTAATGCGTAAATGTCTGCAGATGAACCTAATAATGCTTCCCCAAACAGTATCTAGAATTTTTGATCATAACTTTATCTCGGAACTTTTTCTAGCAAATTCAATTTTGAAAAAATAATCCTTGTTGGTACGAAGTTTTCAAAAGAAATTGCTTTTTTAGTTTAGTAAACATTTGTGGATATTAACTGGGTATAATATAGGGCCGACGACATGGGTTTTAAAGTGGAGGAGCACAATCGTCAATTTTAAAAAAAAGTCCTCTATATCTAGAATTTTCTTAAAAAGAAAAATAGGTCCTTTAGGAAAAAAGTGGGGGAGCCGACGACACCGGCCTTCCCGGTGTCGTCTGCTCTGTGATCAGAAGTATCGACATCTTATTTTGGAAGTTTAACGTGTATAGAATGGTAGACTGGAAACTAGAATAAACTGGACTGTGACAGAATGGTAGACTGGAAAAAAAAAACTGGCTCGTTTTGTTAAAAGTGCATGTCAATTCATTTTGGAAAAAATAAGAAGTATACCTTTAAGTTAAATATGGATAAAGAAGCAATACTCTTTTTTGCTAAGTAAATAAAGAAAAAGGTTTATTAAATTCTAATACCAAATGAAAAGATCACTAGCGTATGCAACAAAGCATACTTGCCAATAGAGGTATAGTTTTTAACATTTTTTTATCTTAATAAACAAATGATCCAACTACTTATTCAGGGTATTTTAATGTCAATACCTTAAGTAAGGCGTGTGTACATGAGTGTCAAGCTGGTCATCAAAAAACTTGAACTAGTTTAATAGAGAGTGGCGCAAGTTTTACCTGCAGTAAGTTTTCCCTGCAGCAAGTTTTCCCTGCAGCAAGTTTTCCCTGCAGCAAGTTTTTCCTGTAACCGTACAAAGAAAAACTAACAGAGATTGACTTTACTGATATTGAGCAATGACGTAAACGCGTTTGTTAGATTTTTATGTTCAAACTTTAAAAAAGATAACATCAGAGTTTGGTAAAGAAAGTCTATTATTCATCAACAAAAAGTCATAAACAAGCAACTACGTACACATTTTTTATACTAAATACATATATACGCATACATTTTTTATAATTAAAATCTATATCTTTTACAACTCTTAATTGTAACTGTAAACTAGATTGATTATCTAGTCAAACATTCTAGGCAAAAGCTATAGAGCACTTCAAACATTTTATTGATAAAAAAAATTGTTTATTTTAATGTTTGTTTTAATGTTGTAACTATTGTATGGCTAAACAGTTTGTTGATATTTAATGAAACAATAATTTACATTCAAGTTATAGATTATAAGTTGCTAGAAGCACAATTTTACGTTAATATAAAAAAATTGTTTTAAATTTGCAGCAATAAAGGTTTCTTATCAAAAAAGTTTTGTTGTAGACAAAACATTTCTAAACAAAATTTAGCCTTCAAAAATAATAGAAACGAAAAAGTAAACGGAATGAAATCGCTAAATTGTAAAATGTGCTAATCATAAATATACAGTTCCTCCATACTCTTGAATATTAGCTCACAGTTTTCTTGATCAAAAGTTTGTGTAATGTAAAGTGGTCACATAAATTCTCATGCAGAATAAATTATTATTTATGTACATTTTGATACTTTAAAAATATTTTCACAAGATGTAAAGGGTGAGTCATCTTATGTTCATTGAACCCGCGAAAACATCATCTATAGTTTTCTTAACGTACTTTACATGTTTTTATGCTTTGAAATAGCCACTTTTACAACAAAAATTTTTCAGAAACACCGCATGTGGGTTCTAAATAAAGCATTTTTACCGCAAGTGGGTGTTCTTTAGAAATAAACAATTTAATAATGTTAAAATTAAAATCTAACTTAACTTTGTTTCAATATGCTTAATTGCATGTCAAAAATTTAATTGCTTTATAAACGCAAGAATTTCAAAACAGTAAATTCGGTAATTGTCTTTATCTCAAAGCAAACAACGTAAAGCCATAACATGTAATTTGTTTATAAGGTTAACCCAATAAAGAACGCCCACTTTAGGTTCACAAATTTTGCACATAAATAAAAGATCATATTTTTTATTATATCAAACACCCATTCAATAACTTAAAAATTATGGAAATTTTATCAATAAATCAAAATATTGAATTCAAGGCAGTTCAAAACGATGATCTATGTGAACCTAATTTGGTCTCTTGCTCTAATACGCAATCTGATTTTGGTTCAGTGCAGAATTTTACAGAATGTTTCGATTGCTCCGAAACAGCTATAGTCGATATTCAACAAGAAAAACTTCAACCAACGTGTCGAATTTGTTTAGGGGATGCAAGCGATGAATTACTTTCTCCGTGCAATTGTACAGGGACGACAAAATATGTGCACGAGCGATGCTGGGTGCAATGGTTTTTGAAATCAAAGCGTCAGATGTGCGAAATTTGTCAAGGAGAAATAAATATCAAAAAGACAGGTTACAAACCATTGTTGAAGGTAGTTTTTTGTTTTAAAATTTTAAACTCGTGATATTTTTTGCAATTAAGTTATTTGTTTCAAAAACGAATTTCGCTGATCAGAGGCAGGTTTGTCACTCTCCAAGGAGGAGGCTAAAAGGTATTTAAAAAAGAAAAAAAAAAGGTTCGCATATTTTTATTTATAAGTAATTACCTTTTTTAATTTTTTGTACTTTAGTGTAATAATCAATTTCATTCGTCAGTATAATAGTCCAATTCTGTATAATAGTCGATTTTCAAAAAAAATATTCCGAAAAAAAGTCCCAAGGAGGAGGCTACTACCCCCGCCCCCCGCCCCCTAAAAAAAACCCGCCTCTGCCGCTGATCAAAAGATTTTATTACTAAAACATATTTGAATTACTAAAACATTTTTTAATATTTTTTTAGTGGAAACTGCCGTTAAGTTTAAAGCTAAAAACTGTTCATTTATTGATTGCTTTGTATATGATAATCATGGTATGTTTTACAAGTCTCGTTATTTGGATCAGTATTGGTAGATGTTTTTCTATTGTTTGCACTTTTGTATACGCTGCTTTTTGCGTGGGTGCAATCTGTTTGGTATACCTGTGTAAAAACGTGTTTAGCCTATTAAACTATATTAAGTCCATATTATATATAAACAGTGAATGGAAAGTTTATGGACGCAAAGATCTGAAAAATAGAGAAGTTTCATCTGAACCCGAAGACATTTCTTCTATTTCTAAAGCAGCAAAAGTTTGAACAATATTATTAAGATGTGTATAATTAGATAAAATGTAAATAATAGCTTTTGTTAAAAGTTTTTTAATATATTAACCTTGTATAATAATGCTTTATCATAATTTATAATTTAAACATAATGAATTAAATATTTAATATGAACAGAATTTATTATTTCCATAACAACACTATAGTAACAACATTTGCTTCACAGTAGCAGTAATAAAAGATATATATGCATATAAAAAACGTCATTAACAATTTTTTTTTTAAATAACTTTAAACTACTGAATCTGCGTGCACTTAAGTTTTTAACAAAAAGAAATGAAAGCATGAAGTATTTAACAGAAAAAACTTCATGTTTTCTTTTATTCTGACATGTTAAATAAAAATGTTTTCATTTTTATTTAACATGTCAGATGAATAATAACAAATGAAAACATTTTTATTTAACCTGTCAGAATAAAGCAACGCTTAAGTTCCATTTTAACTTTTGATTATTAAAAGATTATTAATTTAACTTAAAATTAAATTTATAAACAGATTTTGTTTACTGACAGGTTTTGAATTTTATTTCACAACTAAATCAAGTTCAAAATTTATCAATGATTTTAAGTCAAGTATAGTATGTTAAAAAAATATGAAAAGGTATGAACATTCGAAATATACAACTCTCTTTTTGGGTTGGGCGTAACACTTTAAACATTAAAAGATTATTAAAAGAAACTTAAAAACTGTCGATAAATTTAATGTTTATTATGCTAATAAATATACAGGGTCACCGCGAGGATCCACATCCTCGGTACTCAGGTACTATTGGCCCATGTAGGGGTTGAGCAATTTAATTTTGATTATAAAATATTAACTGGACATTGCTTTATTTGTTAAACTACTTATTTTAGAATAAAAACTACTTGGTTACTTGTTTAGCTTACTGCTCACGAGATGTCAGCAATTAAGTGTTTCAACAAAACGGCATTATCAAAATGTATACAAAAGAGTACAAGCAATCATACATCAGAAGGATCTTTCATCTCTCTACAGTTCTCTCCTAGTTAGCACTTATAATTTTGGTGTTCATTCCACTGAGATCAGGTGCAGTTGCTTTACAATCTTTTGTAAAGACTGGTTTGTCCTATTTATCAAACCTCGTTAACTTAATGCGGCGCAAGGAAATAAAGGCTGTAAAGCCGTTGGTTAAGTAATCCAAAGAAATTTATGTACACTTGCAGTTGCTTCGCAATTTCGATCTAGCTGTTGATTAAATAAAGTAAAATCTCTTCTTGCAAAACTCTTAAAGCAATAAATTTTGTCAGTGCCTTATTTCAATCAGAAAACATTTCCTTATGAAGTTTATAAAGGTTCTTATTGAGAATCTCTCCAGAATGCATTCTTCTTGCTCTAACTTTATTAATAAAACACATTTGATTTATAGCATTTTTTATTGAGCATGTTTTTGCAAAACCTCCTTGCTACGACTAAAGCATTGCTATACATATTTCGCGATGAATAAAAACGCAAGATGTCAATTTTTCTGAAGTTTTGTCATTTCACATGTTGTCGTGGTCATGTGAAATAACAAATCTCGTGCAAAATTTCTAGAAATAGTGGTATAAAAAACCTGATGTAAAAATAATTTTTGCTACAAATCTTTAAAAAAACAGCAGTGTATATGTGTTATATATACAAAATTAATAATAAAAACTTTGGTTCTATATAATATAGAACCAAAGTTTTTATTATTAATTTCATGCGTGACATGGTCGTTTGTTATTTAAGATCGTGTTTAAATTCATCCGACTTGAAAAAAAGGATTATTGACATAAACTTCAATTTATAACTAACCGTTTTTTAGCGCTTTAACATTTTTATTAGCTATTTAACACTAAATGAAGCTTATAAACGACGCTGACTGATATTCAGAATAATACTTGAGTAACAGCGTACTTTAGGAAAATTGTGTAATTAATATGCCTTTCCATAAAATTGAATGCGTCATTAAATCTACTCTTTGATGAATAATTGTAAGTTTAAGAGATGTTAAATAGGATTGGAAAGTCATCTAAAGATCAAATGGTTGTTTCCACTTTAACGGTAATGTTTTTATTGCTAAAAACTATATTATGTAATAATAATTACTAAACCGTATAGTATTAATTACCATATTATGTAGTTTTTAATAACTTGTTGTATAGTTATTAATTATTTTTTTAATACTTAAATTGAATATTAATAAAAAACTTATTAAACATTGAAAAGTATCAAGTCTTGATGTTTAAACTTGGTTATTTCTATTATATACTTTATTATAAATACATAATATGAATTTTAGTCATAAATCAGTTTAAAAAACTTATTTAATAAGTTTGAGTAATGTTATTAGAATCACACTAGCATAAAATATAACATTTAACAAAAGGTTAAAAAAAATGTATTTTTACTAATTTATGATTTTTTATAAATTATAATTTATATTTTTTAATTGAATTAAAAAATTAATTCAAGTTTTAGATATAATAATAAATTTGTAAATATAGTAAAATTACAGGAGACACTATACAGGGCAGAAATAAAACTTATTTGACTATTTATATAAACCTGAAAGCCAAATTTACAAAATGAAAAAATTTAAATATTTCTTTTGCCATAACATTATTACTAAAAATGAAATGTTGTTGACAATCATATTAAAAAGTGTCTTGACAAAGTATAAAATCTATATGTAAAAAAATGTAAATAAAGATGGGTCAAAGACAAAGACAGCAAGGCTTTGCTGAAGATGCTATATGAAACTGATAATTAGGGTGTAGCAAATGCTGTGTATTAACATTGTTTGTTAAAGTTAATAATGAGGTATTATTTTGATTTTGTGCTGACATTATTACTTTCATCATTTGATTCTGCATATGCATTTGTTGTTGTTGCATGTCTAACATCATCTGTAAAGCTTTGTTGAAGCTTTTTAATTCAAACATTGTTACTGATTCAGGAATCACCTTATTAATAAATAATTGTAATTATTGAGTGATCAGATCATAAGTTAATAAGAAGTCATGATTTTTCAGTCAAATTTATTACCGCTATTTTTAAACCAAAAACTGGAAAAAATAGAAATATCATGCAAAACTTTATTTTAAAAAACTTATTGGAAAGGGTAAAATTTATCATAAAGCTAGCAAATAGACTCAATTGTGCCCAAGTGTCACCAAAAAGAAGTAAATACTGGTATCACAATTTCTTTACTACTAAAAGTAGTTGTCAAAAGTTACAATATCAAAGTGATTTTATTCAGTTTTTATTAAAGTTGTTAATAAACTGAGAGAAAGATTTAAAGTACAAGCCTACAACAATAACTTAAAGTACAAGCCTACTCTCATAACTTTGAACCCTAATACTGTATGTTCTAACTTGCATTTAGTCAAAAATAGAACTGATTTACTCACAATTCTTTATGAATCTAAATAAAATAACGCTACAATAGCTGATAAGTACAATAATCAGTATCAAAATTAGTGTGATCTTGCTAAAGACATCCATAGATTAGAATTTACCAATTATAATTATACAAGTTCCTAAAGATAAGTTGGATATTTTTTTAAACCCCTTTTATTAGCCAGAATTTTAATTACTTATTTGAAGTGTCCAAAATTGTCTTTAATTTGTCACAAAAAAATGCGCATGATGTAAGTAGGTTTTTCTATCAATTCAGATGTGTTTGTAAAAAACTTACTCTACGGCTCTGGTTGCAGAGCCGTAGAGTAAGTATTTAATAGAATTAATCGTAGTGTTTGCAATTTACTAATAACAAAATCCATGATTAAAAGTGCAAACATTTTTCAAGTAAACTAAAGCTAAATCAATATTACGGTGAGATAATGTTGATTTAGCTTCATAATGACATAATAGTTTCATAATGTGGTTTATTTCGTTTCACAGGTTGTTCACACAAAAACTTTTTCATGCAAAACAAATAATCTAAATCAGTTTTTGTAGCCCACTGACAGGGATCAAGTATCGCTGTCTATATAGGGGTTCTTGATCCCCACAAGTGTGATCCTTGATCCCCTCTAAATAAAGTCACACATAAAAATAACATAAGTAATTAAATTAAACATTTATACAAATTGAGCTACTTTATTAAACAAAAAAAAAGCAATATTTTAAAATAAAAAATTTTTTAAATAGAAAACATGACTGAAATATAGTTGTCAGGCTTAGGATCTGCATCATTAATTAGTTGATGACGTGAAAGGAACTTAGAGCCACAGCTGATATCCAGATAGCTGGAAAGATCATCCTCTTCATCAGTTAAATTTTAATTTTAGGTGAGCTTAGTTTCAGCTTTTTTTTATATAAGTTTTAAAACTATTTAATAGCTAATAGTTTTAAAACTATTTAATAGCTGTCGTCAAAATATTATATATGGCCTAAACACAGAATAGTTGATTCTGGGATCAAGTACCTCCTCTTTTAAAGGATCAATTATATTTATGTTGACATTTTTTTATCAAGATTGAACAAAACGTGAATATAATTTGAATTTCAATGTTATTTTATTAATTTAGTAAAAGTACACATGTTTTACTTACTTAGGCAATATAATCATAAACTAAACAAGCTAAAGTTGTTACTTTAAAGTAGTTATCACTTACCTGCCAACAGAGCAGTGATAAAATATCACTGGGCACCAAATTTTTTTATTTTATTTTATTTTAATTATTTACCTTCCCAAGTCCCGAAGGGGCCACTACAGTCAAGGAGGCTACTCTTTTTTTTTTCTTTTTTTGTTTGTTGTAAATCATGGTACAACTCTCTCTCAACTCTTTAACTCTGAAACATGAACCTTGACAAGCAAGGCCGCTCCGCGGAGAAATTAAGTTGAATATATAAAAGTGTAACGGTTGATGACTGTCTGGACATTTTGAGGTAAACTCAAAAACTATGTTACATAAAATAAAGTAAAAAATAAACGTTTATAATCTTTGTTAAAGTGATCTTAGCAAAAAAAATTAATATTTATGGTGGTTTTAGTGAAGAAAAAAAATATTTTTAAATACTAAAAAAATCAACCATTGCAATTTATTTGACATCTTTTGAGGTCAAAGTACAATGTACAACTTTTATTTTGATATTGTGAAAATCAGTTTATTTAATTCAGTGAAAATTATTATTTTTTATTGAAATTTTTTTTGCTTTTGCTTTTGCTTTTACATCACTAAAATTAGGGTAGTATATTTGATTTAACACATTGTATTCTTATATTTTATAAATAGGTATATAGCGGGATACATGCTTAAGTAGTAGCCATATAGAAGTTATGAGTGGGCTACGTAGTAGCTATATAACAGATTATGTTATAGTATATGTAATAACAGGCATTTGTATGAAAGCTATAATGTGGACAGTTACCCAGCAGATTATATAGTACTTATATATTGAGTTATTTAAAAGCTATATAGCGGGCAATATAGTAGTTATATCCTTGAAAAAAAATTTTTAAATATATTTAAAAAAACTATAACTTAGACTGATTCTTCCTTGCGATTGCGCAGGCTAATCCTGTTAATCAAATTAATTTAAAACTGACTTGACTGTGCTTAAATTAAGTAATGTATTTAATTTCATTTTTTTTTTACTGTTGTAACTTTTGTTTTTACATCATTAATAGTAGCATAAATTTTTTTTTTTAATTTATTTTAAATATATTTATATTTTATTATATTGTTATTGTATTATATGTTTAATATTGGTAGGCATATAACAGGTTGTTTTGTTTTTTTCATAGGTACAAGGTAAGTATATAGCAGGTTACATACTTATGTAGTGGCTTTGTAATCTTGCTTATGTAGTTATGTTGTGGGACACAGGCTGTGAAGTAGCTATGAGCTGGCTGTAAAGTAGCTATGATCTGGCTATGAAGTAGCTACAAGGGTGTTATGTAGTGTTATATCACAGGTTAAGTTTTACAATGTTGTATTATAGTGATGTAGTGAGCAGGTAGCCTGAATGCTATGTAGTAACTGTAAGCTATGTAGCAGGCTGCATAGTAGCTATATAGTGAGCTATATAATAATTATGTTCTAGAAAGAAAAAAAATAATAATAGTAATTTAAAGCATCGACTCATTCTTCCCGTGAGGCTTTTTAACTAGTATATATATATATATATATATATATATATATATATATATATATATATATATATATATATATATATATATATATATATATATATATATATATATATATATATATATGTATATATATATAAATATGTATATATAAATATGTGTGTATATATATATATATATATATATATATATATTATTTTGTCATTATTTGTTTTACTATTTGTTGTTATTTTTATAAGTTTCTAAAATTTTATAATTTAGTATGGTGAGGTGTTTTTATTTATTTTTGAAGTAAATGCTAACTACTCTTCATAATAAAGAAAAAAACTTAAATGAAGATTATGTAACTTATATAGTATAACAATATAGAAAGAAAAAATATATATACAAAATATGATATGTATTTGAGTTATTTTCTTCAGAATGTATTTGCTAATAAACTGCATTTACAAACAATTAGTAAAAATAATAATAATAAAAAAAAAGTTATTACAAACATCTAAGACATTTTTATTTTAAAATTTCAAGTCATGAAAATATATAAGATCAGAAAATTTGATTGTAAAAAGTGTCTCACTAATTTCTTATAAAATTTCTTCATTAAAACTCTTGAAAACTTCCAAATCTTGTATCAAGTCCTCTTTCATTAAGTAAGTCCTCTTTCATTTCATTGTTCAAAAATTTGTTAAGATGATTTAGACTGTGTAATCTAGATGAGACTATGTAACCTAGATTTTTTTTTCCTGATACAAATTTCTCCTTTCTATACGGTGTCCAAAGCCTTTGTCTTTTTTTAAAGAATTTAAATCAGTTATATGCGGTAGTAGTGTAGTGGTAGAGCGCTCGCTTTATAAACGAGTGATTCCAAGTTCGATCCCCACCATGTCCCTGGTAGTACCGCGCTCAACTCGTTTCTCCGCGCAGGGGCCTTGCTCGTCAAGGTTCGTGTTTCGGAGTTATAGAG